TTATTAACGGATATACCATTTACATTGAAACAAAATATAATATATAAAATTTTTCAAAATAAACATAACATAAAGCTTCAGAAAAATACTAAGCATAACATAGAAAAATGATAAGTAAAGTTTAACAAAAACTAATAATTAACTTGAATACAAACTAATATCACACAAATAGCAGTCTCTTTATCACATTTTTAAATTGTTCTAAGGACTGGAAAAATAAGTCCAGATCACTTTGGTACATATTATATACTCTCACCATATGAGTAAGTGGCTTGAAGTATTCATAATTAAATTGATGAAATGGTAGATGAAAGAACGAAGTATGCCTAGTTCCACGAAAAGTGTTAAGACCTAATCGATTTAAAAGTTCATGGCAATTTATCAAATTATTAACAATTTTGTAAAGGAATATTAGGTAAAAGTAATCTTTTCGCCGATTCATAGAAACCATTTTCAAGTGATCAGCTATTATACTATAACTGTATAGGACAGGGAGGTCATGAAAAGCACTATGGTAATGATAGTGTTTACCAAATTTATGCTGAACACAATCAAGCTTGTTTATAGATGTTTGATAGTAAGGTCCCCATACAACTATTGCATATTCAAGTCTGGAGCGAATGAGACTATTAAAAAGAATTGATAAAAGAAAACATGAAAATTGAGAAGTGTTTATATTTATAAACCTGTGTTCTAGAATGCACTGAGAATGATCTAATTCAGATTGGAAATGTTATGCATTTCTAATTATTAGACGACACTTTTAACAAGTTTTAATACCAATTTTATTCCAATATACAAGTTTTTACTTTCGTTTTAGTTATGTTAATGTTTATATTCTTGAACAGAGAATTGAATAACCTTTGAAATAATCTATAGTTACCAGAATGATATATGCCAATAAAATCATAACTTAAACATAAAAATCGACTTTTTTCGCGATTTGTCGCCAAAGTCGTCTATTTTCGAAAGAGTGAATCTATTCCATAATTTTGCCGCTCACTGCATAATACTTTTGTGTGTTTTTATCTAAACTTTACTTACCGAATTTAAACAATACTCGGCTTATCATAATACTACATATCTATATCATCTATATTATTGAATAAATTGACCCATATATTGATAAAATTTACATATAGTTATATATTTTTATTTTGTACAGTTGCTTGTGTAAACGTTGTTAGGAATGTTTGCTATTTATTGTGGATTCTATCTTTCACCTACAAGGAGTTTCTTCAGGCTATATGAAAATTATCTAAATTGTAGGTAAATACTGTTTATGGGTCAAGAATCTAAGAGTTTCTCATGCCAATTTACTTAATCATTTGCATCATTTGCGCTTAAAAATATTAGATCGATTTAACACATTCTGTTTTGTTCCTATAAATTATCTTGGCATTAATTAATTTTGATTTATTATGTATAGCAAATTTCTTGTATCTAAATTAGTCTCGAGTTTTCAGTATGAGTAGAATTAAAAAGACCATTTATCTTGCAATACTAAAACGTGAACCACAACAAACGGTATACTACAAATAGACCGATTAACAATCCTACGATTTAATACAGATCCTGAAAATCCAAATCGGTGCATGTACCAACATCTGATAAATCCGATATGAAAATTAGGGAAGTTTCGTCAGATCTAGAAACACTAAAGACTGTTATAAGCAAAAATGAAAAGACAATTATCATAGGTAACCCTTTATATAAAGTAGGCAAATGAATATCTAATGACATAGTGGCGGAATATGGTCTACTGGAAAGAAATTAACGTAGGAAAGTACTAGTACAATTCTACCAGTAGGAAAAATAAGCCAATCTCAAACACAAGCTTCAAACTATCCTCCAGTTACCTTTACACTTGAAAATGTCCTCCGAACTTACCGAAACATATAGCGAGAATCCAAATCAACTATACAATAGTCTAAACAGGAAAAACAGGATCTACAAAAATATTTCAAAAGTTGATTCTAATCTAAGATTCCAACTCAGAAAAGTAGTAAAGAGAAAATTGCCAGGACTAAACACCCAAGTTGTTTTTTTTATTTAGAAATTACAGCTGCATCCACCATAATGGCTATTAGCGGCGGCTACATAATTACAAAATTAGAGTTTATAAAATATTCCTATAGATTTTAAGAACTTTACAATATTACTAGCTGACAAATTAGTGCCTAATAAATTACTTAAACTGTTAGGTATGTTAAATGTAACACGAAAATTGGCAAATCTATGGCATTCAATTAATAAATGGTTAACGGTTAATTGTACATTACATGTTTCGCAAATAGGTGGATCACTTTTGGAAAATAAATAATAAATATGAGTGAGTAAGTCTCGTGTGTCCAATTCGTAATCTCGTTATCACCAATTGTTCTCTTCAGTTCCTTGTTGAGGGTTCCCAAGCTGCAACGTCATTTTTAATTTGCTTCAGTGATGTTTGAGAAGATTGCCATTCGTTTTTCCACTTGCACAAAACTCGATTCTTTATTTTATATCACTCGCGGTATTTCGATACTCGGCTTTTTCGATATCGGCACATTTAGCAATTTCACTCGCGCACTGGTCCGCACTTTCGTTGCCAGCAATGCCAATGTGGGATGGAATCCATATAAATCTGATCCTCCTAGAATTTTCTTGAGCTTGCATGAGTTCTAGTTTTATCAGTTTCTCAAGGGGACCTTTAGGATAGATCTGTTTAAGGGTTTGAAGCGCGCTTAGTGAGTCACTTAAGATAACAGAGTTAGGAATGTTATTAGAATTTATATGTATGATAGCTTTAAACACTGCATAGAGCTCAGCGGAGTAAATCGAAAAGAAGGTTGGGAGACGAAATTGATATGTATCGTTTGGAGTAACGAAAGCAGCACCTACTCCTTTATCACTTAGATGCACCTGTAAATATTTTATAGCAATGTTCGTAATGCTGACGGAGAATTAGATCTAGATTATTCTTAATCTCTGCGTGGCAGTTAATATGTTTGTCGTATTGGGTTAAACCAGTGTTTATATTTTAGGCATTAATTATCCAAGGAGAGGAGCTTTTGATATTGATTGGAAAGGTTATTGGGAATTCGATATTGAGACATCTCAGGTAACACCGTACTCGCTCATAGTAAGGCTTATGTTTGGTACTATTGGTAAAGAGATTTATATATTTATTAGTGACCGTATTATTAAATAGAGGTTTGTTTACATTTGAGGCTACGGACGTTGCGTGTGATAGTGTTGAGGAAATTCGGCGGTGATATAATGAAGGCTCCCCACTTTCCGAATATAAACTTTCCACCGGTGATGTTCGAAATGCGCCAAGAGAGTGTCTAAGTGCAGTGTTTTGAATAGAATCTAACTGTTTTAACAATGTGGGGGAAGCAGAGGCGTAAGCGATTGATCCGTAATTAATTTTTAATCTAATTAGAGTTCTGTAGATTGTAAGTAAGGTAGAGAGATCAGAGCCCCAATATCTATTCGACAGTGTTCTCATTAGGTTAAGTTTCTTATGACAACTCAAAACTAATTGTCTAATATGTTCTTTCCAAGTAAGTTGAGTATCAAAACACATACCTAAGAATTTTACACATGATTTGAAGCATAGCGATGTATTGAAAAACTTGAGATTGGGATTATTTGAGAATTTCTTTTTTGAGAATACCATACCAACGGTTTTTGTAACCGAGAATTGAAAACCAGTATCGCGAGACCACTTTTCGAGTTTTTGTAAGAAATTTTGCAAAATTGTTGAAGTTAAATTAATATCTTTGCCTTTTACATAAACCACCAAGTCATCTGCATATAAACGTGCTTTTAAAGGTTTTTGGAGGATTTTAATTATGTCATTAATAGCAATTAAAAAAAGTGTAGGACTAATAATTGAGCCTTGAGGGATACCGTTTTCTTCCTCCTGCATTTCGGAATAGTAGTTGTTAACTCTTACACGAAAATATATGTTTTCTAGAAAGTTCTTAATAAAATGAAGGCAATTTCCACGAATGTTCCATGAATGTAACTGTTTTAAAATGTTGAATCTCCAACATGTATTAAATGCTTTTGTTAAGTCAAAAAACACTGCGATACAATGCTGTAGTGTATGTACTGTATGGGAGCAACTACAGTCTTCGTAGACACACTGTCTCAAGACTAGCAACTTCAACGTGGAGTCATATGTCGCCATGTTACCTAATCCAACGGTAACTTTAACATCCTAAACCATTGTAGGAAAATTTGTAAACTAAATGTAAATAATTATTTGTTAGCGGGTTTTTACCTATATATTTAGTGGCTACATTCATGTACTCTTAGACACTGATGATGGAATACGGATTCCGAAAACGTTTTGTCTTTTTAACTTAGCCCGTTTGGGTTCTTAATATATACCTTTTACAACGGATTTTTAATAAATTTTTTAATATATGGTATACAGTCAACTACAGGAACGTAGATTTCTTGTGGACTTTGATAAGAGACCGTAGCCTCAGAAAAACAACCGGCTTAGCTTTACTACATGTTATGTGTACTCTTATCTTGTATAAAGTAGAGGCTTGGAGTATAAAAGTCGATGCAGTGAACCACCTTGAGGTCTTCTAAATGTGGATATACTGAGAGATGATTAGAATATCTTGGGTGGATGAGTTTATAATTGAGGCAAATTTGAGAATAATAAGAAAAACCGAAGAACTGTCAGCACTAATCAAGATGAGAAAGACCGCATGCCTATGAGGTATCCCTTGCAACCAGATCTCCGAAAAGTAATCATAGAAGGTAGAATAGAGATCCAAGAATAAACTTAATAGTATTTATAATTTTCACAGAATATTATTTACTTAACATGCTTCAACTTATATTTAATTGTCTTTAAAACAAATCATAAGACAGTAGTTAAATGTTTTGCATTACCGTATCTTTATGACGTGGTTACTTCAACGCTCCTGTTTTTTTTTTTGTAATATTCGTAAGTTTCGTTAAGAAGGAATAATCATGGATTTTATTCTTTTCAGGTACTTCGAACACCATACCTCCCAGTAACTTATTAGTAACAAGAAAAACAAGCTCTTCCAGTTCATCATCACCGACACTCACTAAAGAAGGTATTATATTTATATTTTGATTTTTACCAGACCAAAACGAAAAAGCTACGTCATAGAAATAATATACATATAGTTAATTACTATTTATAACTGGGAATAAGCCACATTAAAGATAAAAATACATTTATTGACGTTTCAATTTCCAATTCGGAAATCGTTCTCAAAATACAAATAGTAAATTAAACAAATTTTGTTTTTTGTTACATAGTGAAAAAATTCTATTAAGAATTTTTTCACTATGTAACAAAAAAAGAATTTTTTCACTATGTAACAAAAAACAAAATTTGTTTAATTTACTATTTGTATTTTGAGAACGATTTCCGAATTGGAAATTGAAACGTCAATAAATGTATTTTTATCTTTAATGTGGCTTATTCCCAGTTATAAATAGTAATTAATTTACAATGCCACAAGAAAATAGCTTCAGAACAATATTAAGAAACCGTTATGGGCCCAGCGTTATTCAAAATTTTAGGAGATTGGAAATTCTATACAAGATACATATAGTTATCGATGACTTTTTCATATTTTTCAGTATAGCACTGTCAGACAGTAACAAAAAAGAGCAAAACTTAAATTATTTGATTATTTAAACTTAGTAATTCTAAATGGCAAAGCAATGAAATTATAAGAAAGTATAAAGAAAAGTGTCCCCCTAATATGGTTTGTAAGATAAGACAATTACTACTAACTCTTACTAAAACCACAAATTGTAAAAACAATTTTTATTTTTTAATACAGGACGCATTTCAGCATCTCTGTTACCATCAGCTATACTTGTAGGATAAGCTAAGTGGAGTTTAATTAAAAGAAATTGGCTAGGTCGTCAACGCCATATGAAATGTCTGATTATTAAAAAGGACTCCAAAAGTCCAATATCTCTCCTATGGATACCATTTTGGACAACAAAGGGATGATCCTCAAAGACTTAACAACATCTTTTTCTTCTTCTTTTTATATAGACATGACTCTGTCTCTTTTTCTATGTGCCGCCAGTAAGTTATTCCATCGTTTTCGTGGTCTTCCTACTGATCGTCTTCCTATTGGGAAACCGTTCCTTGCCGTCTTTACTACTCTATTTGTTGTCATTCGGCATATATGATCGTTCCATTCTACTCTTCTATTTCTTACCCACTTCTTGATGTTCTCCACCTTGCATCTACGTTGTATATCTGTACTTCTAGCTCTGTCCCATTGTGTCTTACCATCAATTTTTTAAGTGTTTTTATCTCTGCTGTTTCTAACGTCCTGTTTGTCCTCTCTGGGTCAGATCTTGTTTCTGCCCCGTATGTCATTATTGGTCTGATGACTGTTTTGTAAATTCTGCCTTCCGATACTTTCCCAATATTTTTATTTCTCCATATTGTTTCATTCAGCAACCTGCGACTCCGTTTGCTCTATTCACTTGATCTTCCACTTCAGTTTCGAGCTTTCCGTAGCGACATAATGTGATGCCTAGATATTTAAACTCCATCACTTGTTATATTATCTGACATTCAAGCTCCAATTTACATCTTAGTAAATTTGCTGTTATAACCATGCATTTTGTCTTTTTTGGCACACACAAAATAACTATCGAGCAAACTTTAAATGGAATAGTAGACACAACGTACAAGTATCATAAAAAACTATAATGATCTTTGTTTACGACAAACTTATAATAAATATTTTAAATTAAACAATATTTAAATAATTTATTTTTAGGTGATCTTCGGAACACATCGTCCGATCATGCTTTAGCATCTCAAAGGTCTTCCTATACAAATTGCACGTTAAGTCCGTCCAGCCCTTCTATATTATCCGAAGACGGTAAGTACATACATTTTTTATATGTAACCTTTTTATTAAACCTCTTTAGGAAACTTTATATACACGACATGTGTTAATAATATATTATTAAGGAGTAAAAGTATGGCTTACTTCCGTCAAATTCGACAACAAAAACATAGGCGTCATCGCTTGAAACTAGACACGTTGTAGGGGTAAAATTATCAGTAAGAATAGAATAAGAAGTGAAAAGAATATAAGCTAAGTTTAAAATTATTGTGTGTTAATTTTAATTGATATAGTTTTACACTTTTTAGGATAAATAGCAAACTGAAATTTATTAAAAATTATTTTAACGAAAACATTGCCCTTTGTGAATTCCAAAGTACAGTTAAGACACACTAGAAAATTAATGATAATATTATTAAATTCTAGTTAAAATGATGGATAAATAAGCTCATGGCATTCAAAAATGACCTGATTGAATATATATGAATAAAATATTATTGAAGGAATTGTTCAGACGTTTCTAATCAAAATTAAAGAAATCTCATTTTCAAGACGATCATTCCAGACGACATCGTGCAAAGAGTGTAGATATATACTACAGCTTGGAGATGTACAAACAAGAAACTACCTACAAAATTCGTCAAGCATAAATTCCATTAAAAATATATGCAAACATCTTATATTCAATCAATAAAACTCTCTTTTAGAACTTAAAGTATAAAGCCATTTGGAACTTGATTATCGGTATTTGAGAAGAGTAGAAAAATATATTCCAACAGTTTATTGATAGCCTGATTCGTGAAATGTCAAGAAGAGAAAAGAAAGAAAGAAACTTCTTCGTTTTGGTTAATAAACAAAGTATCTATTCTATCTAGGTATCTTCTAAACAGTCACATCAGCATTTTTTGGTCGTTCAATGGTCCTTGGTCCTACTAATGAGTTATTATAAAAAAATTTTGTAGCCTTGTGTTAACCTGATTGACTTTACACTATCTATTGATAAAATATGAAATGAAAATAAAAATAGTGAATAAGACGAGAACCTCAGCTAAAAATTCACTTTAAATGTTTTTAGCTCCTTACTAGTGCATGTGTCTCATTAAAGAGCATCTTACACTTCCCGTAAGCATCTGTTATTTGTTTAATGTATATTCTTTATAAGGATTCTTCCTTAGATTAGGTTTCCTTTTTTGCTAGATCTAAGCAGAAATTCTGACTGGAAGGTAGGGGCCTATCATTATTGCTTTTCTGTTAAAAATGTTTTGAAACATTTTCAAATATTCATCATCATCAATGGTGCTACAGCCCTATGAAAGAGCCTCGACCTTCCCAAGTCTATTACGAAAGGCAGTCCTATCCATTGCCAACCGTTGCCAGTTTGCTGCGCCTATTTTTCTACTATACTCATCTTCCATCCATTTTCAAATATTAACATCATCTAATTATTATTATACGGGAAAAGAAAAGCACGTAGAACATCTCAAAGTAAAGTGGTGAAAATCAAAGGGTAAGAAGTTGGAAAAAGTCTTCAAGAGTAGAGTCTTCCAGCACTCACTGGAAGAGTTTAAGGAGTTTTTTAACGGTAAATGACTAGTGAGAAATCAACAGTAAAGTTGTGGTGCAAGTGGAGAGGAAATGCTAGGAGAAACATCTGGTAAAGGTACAGGTACAGGTAAGGCATTAGGACCTTATAAAATACCTGTGAAAGTTTGGAAGGCTCTAGGAGAAAAAGTATTTGATGTGTTGTGACTAATGATGAGTAGGCTATATGAAAAGGAAATGATGCTCAATGTATGGGGAGAGACCGAGTTGGTAACTATATAAAGAATTGGGATTTTAATTCTACAGAGAACTATAGAACCAAAGTTAAGAAGCGAGACGTCGATATGAAAACAACAGTTTGAACTTACACCAGGGAGGAGGACAACGGTTTGATTTGAGACAGTTGATATAGAAATAAGGCGTAAAGAGAGGGGATTATATTAAGTATTTATAGATATTGAAAAGGTGTACAACACAGTTCCTAAAAAAGAGCTATAGAGATGTATGAGAGAAAAATGGTTTTCTAAGAAACACATTAGGATTTTGAAGAATATGTATGAAGGATCGTACACCAAAGTAAAGATTTTCCATCACCTAGCTTTTTAATTTTGTTATGGATGCACCGCCACAGGAGGTAAAGGAAGGGAGCTTCTTGATCAATGCTGTTTGCGGATGATATCGTATTAGTGGAGGGGAGCAAAAAAATGTGGCAGGAGAAGTTTGAGGGTTGTAGAAGGAGTATTAAAGGCATAAGGCTTAAGGTTGTTAGGTCGAAAATAGAGTATATGAGGTTGAGAGAAACGATAATGATTGGGGATATCGAATTAGTTGGGAAAAAATTAGGATCAGTAGAATTTAAACACTTTTGCTCCTACATAACGAAAAATTGGATACTAGATCGAGAAATTTCGCATAGGATACAGGCTGGTTGGTTTAACTGAAAGCGAATAAGTGGGATGCCCTGTGATTGAAAAATCGGCGAAGGGATGAAAGGAAAGATATACAAAATTGTAGTGAGACGGTTCAGGAAAAGGAGATAAATGTAACTAAAATGAAAATTTTATTGAGGACGTTGGGTAAGAATAAAAGAGACAAGATCAGGAACGACATAATTAGACAATGAAGATCTTTGAGCACCCAAAAACACTTTTTAACAAAAAATACATACTACGAACTCAAAGATTGATAAAACCCACTGCCGTTTCGTCTGGTCTTCGATTTTGTATTCAGACATGTATACCAATGATATACCAAAAATTTTCACCGCGCTGCCAATAATATTCTACATTATTTACCAGCTCTTTTCCTATTAAATGGAAGACACTTGTGCTTAATATGAGCTCCTTCTTCTTCTTCTTTGGGTGCCGTCTTCAATAAAGGTTGGCGATAACCTCAGCAAAATCATTTCTGTCCCTGGCTTTTCTTATTAAAGATTAAAAATCCAAACCAGTCCACTCACGAATGTTCTTTAACCAGGACGCCTGCCGTCTACCAGGACCATGTTTTCCTTCTACCTTCCCCTCTATATCCTCTATAAGAAGCTGCAGTAGCTGGTATTTCTCATTTCTGTACATGTGTCCCAAATATGAGGTTTTCCGTGTTTTCATTATTTTTAAGAGTTCTCTGTCGGTACCCATCTTGTGTAGGACCTGCTCGTTGCTCATATGCGCTGTCCAGGGGACTTTCAGCATCCTTCGAAATAACCACATTTCAAAACTTTCCAAACGCCTGAGTGAGTTGATTTTGAAGGTCCAGGCCTCCATTCCATATAGTAAGGTGCTGTAAACGTAACATTTCAGCATTCGGTATCGGATTTTGAGATTGAGTGTTTGGGACGTAAACATTTGTTTCATTTTTAAAAAGACATTTCTTGCTTGTTCAATTCGCGATTTTATTTCTATGTCTGGATCTATATCTTTCGTTATCCAGCACCCTAGATATCGAAATTTCTCGACATTTTCGGTAATGTTACCATTCACGTTTAAAGCCATGGGTGGATGGATGGATGTTTTGGAGACAATCATTGTTTTTGTTTTCTTGACGTTAATGCTGAGGCCGTATTGTTCTCCGATCGATCTGACGCGATCTAAGAGTGTCTGGAGATCCTGTGCGCTCTCTGCAATTAGGACCGTGTCGTCGGTGTATCGTACATTATTTAGAACTCTGCCGTTAATTTTAACACCTTCTCTTGATTGCTCTAGTGCTCGTGCAAAGATTTCTTCCGAATATATATTGAAAAGTATTGGTGACAATACACACCCCTGTCGTACACCTCGCTTGATATTGAATATTTCTGTGTCACCGGCTTCTGTTCTAACTGCTGCAGTTTGGTTAAAATACAGCGTTTGGATAATTTTAAAATCGTTCTAGTCTAGTCCCTTTTTGTGAAGGCAATCCATCAGCCTATCATGTTTTACTTTGTCGAAGGCCTTTTGATAGTCAATAAAACATAAAAAGAGATCCTTTTTTTGGTCTCGACATTTTTGCAGCAGTATAATAAAACTGGTTAATGCTTCCCGTGTCCCAAATCCATTTCGGAAGCCAAATTGTTCATCACTGATATCCTGTTGACATTTCTTATAAATGCGTTGGTGAATAACTTTCCAGAATAACTTTAACATATGCGACATTAAACTAATAAGTCTGAAAGCACCACACTTCTTTGCTCCCTTAGTTTTTGGAAGGGGAATAAATAATTTGACGATTATATTTAAATGTTTCTCTTCCAGTAGCTTTACGACTTCCGTATGTATGTCATCGGGGCCAGGGGCTTTCCCATTTTTTGCGTTTTTGATTGCTCTCTCTACTTCTTGTTTTAATATAGGAGGACTGGTTTCATGGTTTTTATATATTATGTTGTTTAGTGGTGTGTCCGAGAATAGTTCTTCTATGTAATGTCCCCATACGTTGTTTAGATCGCTTAATTCCCATATCGTTTCATTCTCGTCGTTTGTTAATCTACAATGGAGTCTTTGTTTTGTCATTCCTGTAGCCATTCCTTTGTTTTGCCATTCCTCATGAGCTGATTAGATGACTGTAATAGGTACACGCTCTTTGGATATCCCATTGAATGAATAGTATTCAATCTTAAGATTTTAATGAACTCTAGTGTATTTGTTATAAAAACAAATATTAGATATTTAATATACTTATACCAATTGTAATTCAGGTTATATGTATTTATAAAGATAGTAGGTAACATAAGATCAATAATAGATATTATAGTTTTAAAACAAGCAACGAAGAATGTATGTGATATTTTTACCCATAAAGTATAATAGGTAAACAGTACGTCACATGCTGATAAGAATATATGAATACCATAATACAATCTATAATCTAAAATTTAAAATATAGTTTTGCTACCAATTTTACCTCTAAAACGTGTGCTGTCAAAGTTGTGGTTATATACATAAATATACCGTGTGTTGCGTACCTAATACGTCGTAGTACGTGTTAACTTAAGTTGATTTTCAAGTTTACGTTGTGAT